AATACAATTTTTTTACAGGGATTCAATTATTATTTTCATAGATAAATAAAACTCATTGCAGAATTTCAATTATTTTTGATACAATTTTAATCAAATTCCTCGAATAATGTGATTATTCTTAAAATTTTATTAAAATTCGTCAAAATAATGCAATTATTTAAAAAAATTTGCTAATAAAATTCTTTATGAGAATTAAATTTTGAGAAACATTCAATTATTCAATAAATTATTTACTTTTCTATTAAAAAGAAATTAGGTATTTAAAAAGAAATATTATTAAAAAATTCGTCTCAAGAATTCAATTATTTTCAAAAGTAATAAATTTCTTCTTGGAAATTCAATTATGGTCAAAAGTTTAAAAAAATTTATTGTCAAAATTTCAATTATTTTTATGAATATTAAAATTTTTCTCTAAAATTGAATTATTTTCAAAAATTTTAATAAAATTCTTGACAAAATTTCAATTATTTTCAAAAACTTTTCTCAATTCAATATGAAATTTTTTTTATAGAGATTGAATTATTTTTAATACATTTTTGATCTAATTTCTCGAAAAATGAAACTATTGTTAAAAATTTTATTGAAATTCGACAAAAGAATTTTAATTTTCTAATTAAAAATTTGTTGATAAAATTCTTTAAATGAGAGTTGAATTTTAAAAAACATTGAATTCTTCAATAAATAATTTTTTTTTGTATTTAAATAATTTTGAATTGTCGTAGAATTTTCTAATAATAATTGATTGAAATATGAATTTTAGTTAAAACTTTAGATAATAATTGAGTTTTGAAAAGCAGGTCTTAAATTATAATCTTTGAATGTTTGAATTTTTCATACTTTTAACTTAAAATTGTGTAGATTTAATTTTTTTGTAAAAGTTGAATTGAATTTTTTTTTGAAGTTATTTAAAGTTTTTATTTTCTAATTTATATATTTGATTGAAGAATTTCCGAATACCTGAATAATCGATGAAATTTCGTAAACTTGAATTGTAAACAAAAGGATTTGAAAATGTTGAAAGAAATTTTTCAGAAATTATTAATAATAATTAACAGCATGTGACTGTTACAGAAATCAATATTAATTTTTTCGACCACTTTTCTCTTAAAATATTAAATAAATTAAGCTAGTTTTTTGTGAATAACTCTAAAATATAATAAAGAAGAGCAGTGATGTGCAGAAGTTTTAATAATTCTAAAATAAATTATAAAAAAATACTTTGAAATCGGAAAAGACGAGAAATTGATTAAAAGTGATTTTGAGAACTGATAATTTTAAAGTTATTTTTTAATAATTAATTTTAAAAATATTAAAATTTTTTCACATCACTGCCCTTCTTTATGATATTTTAGAGTTATTCACAAAAAACTAGCTTAATTTATTTTATATTTTAAGAGAAAAGTGGTCGAAAAAATTAACATTGAATTCTGTAACAATCACATGCTGTTGCTCGCAACATTGCTTAACCGGTACATTAGTTAGGGTATATAATTAAAAATGGTAGCAAAAGTGGAAGTGCAAAGAGGCAGTTCACACCCAGAACCAAGGACGTTCACTGCCCTGTTATTGAACTGACTAAAAACGCTTCTCGCATACCAAACGGTTCGTTGCTTTCGGAGTTTTGTGTCTGGCGCCATTAGGAGAGCGTGAACCAAGAACTGCTCTTGACTTTGAACGAGATCTACGTCATCGACCTGCTTGTCAACATTTCTTCTTGTTAGTAATTTTTTTTTTTTCTTTATTCAGCATTTTTTTTTCTATCTAAATAAAAACCAGTAGGACGAACAGTTTACAATTACACTCCAAAATGCAAAGTGTATAAAAAAAAGGAGAATAAATTTCGATTTTTAATACAGAAAAATTTTTTTTTTTTTTTTTTGAACTAGAAATTTTGTTTTATATACAAAATTTATTTTTTTGTTTAAAAATTTATTAATGGATATTTTTAACGTTAAAAAATTTTTTATTTTTAATTTGAAAAAATTGTTTTACATGAAATCGGTTTTTATCCAGCAAAGGAAAATATCAATAATGTTAAGAATAAATCAAGTATATTAATATACTTTATACTTTATACTCTTTTTTCTTTTTCCTAAAATTTACTAAAATTCGATTTCTTCTAAATTTTTTTCAATGTGCTGAGAAAATGTCTTAAATTTTAAAATATTACTTCGAAATTCTAAGACAGTTAATAATGATATTAAAATTTCCGAAAAATATAAATTTTGATCAAATAAAGAAATTATTAAATGAAAATATTAACTATCAATTTTAATTAGTTTTATTAATTATTAATTTTTATTCATTTTACTAACTGTTAATGTTTATTAATTTTATCAATAATTAATTTTTATTAATTTTATCAACTGTTAATTTTTATTAATTTTATCAACTGTTAATTTTTATTAATTTTCTTAATGTCATCAATTATTAATTTCTTCTTAATATTATGCAATAAATCAAGACTCTATTTTTCAATAAAATAAAAATTTAATTCTTTTCTAATAATATGAAAAAAATTGTTTTTGAATAAAAATTAGAAATTAAAAAAGTTTTTTGAAATTTTATTCTTAGAATTAATCATTAATGAGATACTGTGTTGATGATAAATTTGCGCCTACCTATAGGCAAGCATACCTATTTCTGAGTAACTCAAGAAAATGTTACTAAGGCTGTTAAGTTGAATTTGTCAATTTAATTGTAAATTAATTTGTAATGCACTATTTTTACAGTATGAATCATTATAGAATTTCCGATTAATTAAATTAAACATAAATCTAAAGTTTTACAATATTAAATTGATAAAATACACAATAAGGAAATGCGAATAAATTAATTCACAAAATTATTTTTTATATTTTTAACTAAAAATTAATTAAAAATCCAATAACTAGTAATTTAATTATTTAGCAATAATTTTAATTACTTATTGCTTTAATTAACTAGTAATTGAATTATTTAATAGTAATTTAATTTCTTATTACTTTAATTAACTAGTAATTTACTTATTTAGTAATAATTTTAATTACTTATTATTTTAATTAACTAGTAATTTATTTATTTAGTAATATTTTGAATTACTTATTGCTTTAATTAACTATTATGTTAATTATTTAGTAACAATTTGAATTACTTATTGCTTTAATTAACTAATAATTTAATTGTTTAACTTATTATTTTTATTATTATTATTATTATTATTATTATTATTATTATTATTATTATTATTATTATTATTATTATTATTTTTATTATTATTATTATTATTACTTATTATTATTGTTATTATTATTATTTAGTTATTTAGTTATTTATTTATTAATGATTAATAATAAGTAATTAATCCAATTAATTATTAATGTAATTAGTTAATGATAATATAATTACATATTAGTTTACTTATTCAATTATTCATGTAATCATTGATTAAATAAATAATGAAAAATAATTGAAAATTGAATGCTAATAATATTAAATATTAATAATGAATAAAATTATATTCAATGAATATAATTGAGTATAGAAAATTTGTGTCTTGTGGAAAACATGGTATATATGAGTTAATTTCAGGTAACAAATAATATATAAGAGAAAGTATTTATCTGCGAGAATGAATTTATTACAAAATTGCTATCTTAGAATGGCATTGGCACAGCACTATACATTGTGGTCCTAGAAGTAAGAGTTACTAATATTATGTTCAATTCATGTCATTCAATTTATGGCATACATGTACAAATAGTAAATATATGTTTTAAATGAGCTCGTTCAAGATAGTCTCAGACATCATCGCAACGACATGCATATTATTACATTTTTCATTTTTTTTTCCATAAAGAATTCACTCACTCATTCTTTTTCTCTTTAGAAATAATATAAATATACAAAAATTTAATTTAATTTATTTTTAATTTTTAATTCATTCAACATTTATTCTTAGAGCAAAAATTCTTAGGCAAAACTCATTGAAAATTTATTTTCTATTGTATAGAGAGAAATTTTTATTTCATAAAATGGATAATAATTTTTTGTCAAGAGTCATATTATGTAAAATTAAAATTTTATTTGAAAAATAGCACAATATGTTGCAACAAATATTTTCTTAATATATTAAAACGCAGACTTTTTGAGAAATTACAAAAAAACAGTGAGAAGAATTTTTGGAATGTTTATAAAAAAAATATCGTTCAAATATTACGGAAAAATTATATGACAATATTGTGAGAATTTTGTCTGCAAACTTGAATCAAAATTAGTGGAAAAAAATTGAAATAATATTCTTTTGTAAATTAGTGGCAATTTAACTTTCCATGTAAGCCCGTAGGAAAATTACAAAAATTTCTTTTCTAAAATTAAAGCCATATTATTGCAATAAATTGTGCTTAAATTACATAATACAATTTTTTTCCATTTCTCTCACATTATATATTTAAAATTAACAGTTAAAATTCAATTTTTTTTTTGCTATTATTTTTTTTTAATCATTTCCTAGTACATTCAAATTGAGCCATTTTAATATATGCGCACGATGAACAGTTTAAAACTATAACGTACAATATTCTTCTTTTTTTTCTGTATAACTAAACAACAGTATCATACTTCGAATCATACACCACAAAAAAAAAATGAGGTTTCTCATTAACTGAGATACATTTATGACGCCGAGCATCTTTTTTAATCTATAGTCTTAAAATTACAACATGATTTTTTTCTATTTAAAAGAAAATTTAAAATTAAAAAAAATTTTTCATTGTTTCAAAAAAGTTATTAAAAATAAAAATGCTGTTTTAAAAAAAAATGTATATTTAAAAAAACATGTATTTAAAAAAAAATTTATAGGCGCATGATATAATTTAACAAGAAGAAAAAAATACAGTAGATGTACATTAAATTAAAATAAATATTACATTTGTAGAATTTTTTTTTCTTTTTATATGCAATAAAGCAAAAAAAAAAAAATAATCACGAGCTGGAAAAAAATTTTTTTTTCTCAATATTTAAAGCTAATTTAGCACGTTATTATATTAATATGATTATTCTTATTATTGTTGAGAAATAAAAAATTAAAAAATTATCAGAAAAAAAATTTGCATTGTCAGAATTCGATGCAGGTAATAATCTTATAATGACGTATGAGGATTTACTGATACATTAGCTAATGACTTGTATATGTGTATATGTTTGTATAATACAATGAGATATATAAAAAAAGTAGTTTAGGAGAATTTTTTTTTACTCTTTATTTCTCCGAGTGTATTATTTTTTTTCCGTATCTATTGAATTATTTATTAGCGATGGTCTGCGATCAATTGAACGGAATATCATAACACTTTGAGTACCCTTGAATTTTTTTTTTTTCCCTATCTCATATATGACAGGTGTAACGAAACGAACGTCAGAATTCAATTTATAATTCGTTTATTCGATTGCTAATTTAGAGCTAAATTTTATATTTAAATGCGAATCACAGAATAAATTTTGGAGTTCATTTTTCATGAGCGTTTGATGGAAAATTTGATTTTATATTTTTAGCACCTTTTTTTTAATAGAAAAAAAAATACATTATTAGTATACTTAGATTCAAAAATTAGAAATAAATAATGGGTTAAAATTTTCTTATAAAATAAAATTTTTTGAATTCTTAATTATTTTCCCCACTCTTTGGTATTTTATCAGTTTTGAGAATTAGCAGATTTTGTATCAAATTAGCACAATTTGCTAGTATTTTTTTTTTGAAAATTTGTTTTTCTTTGACAAAAGAAGTTTATTTTTAAAATTTTTGTTTTGAACTCCCTATTTTTTCTGTGACTGAATTAAAAAAATAGATAGAAACTTATTTGCCTAAATAAAAAATGTGGAAAACGATTCCACTAATACTTACTAGTGACTATTAGTAAATAAAAGACTTTTGGGATAGTCGCAAACGGTGAAAAAGTATACTCGTAATTGTCGAGTAATTTTTTTTCCTGCGCAGATATTTGAATTAAACTATAAGTTGATTTTTCTTTTAATTTAATCGCTTTTTTTCGTAAATATAAGTCGAGCTTAAAAATTAGGAGCAATGAGGCAGTTGAGTTGGCAAGAACAATATAATATTACATTGTATATTAGGAGCAATAACGGAAATCAGTCGTTCGGCCATTTGAATTTAACGCACTAGAAATAATGAGCCGAGTGCATCTAACAAAATTAGAGAAAAATACCAAATTATGCTCAATGTTTCCCGAATATGTAAATTTGTCAGTGTTATTTTATTTTTACACACGAATTGTAATTTCAATATGAAAAGAGGAAAATTAAACAGTATCTTTAATTTTTAATGAATTTTTGTTTTGAATTACCCGCCATTGGAAGTAGTAACAATTGGCGCCGTTGTAGCGCTGCAACGTGTCTTACACACCGCAGACATTACATCTGCCATTTGCAATTTCATTTGCAGAATTTTTCCCTGTTACCCCTTTGTTAAGTGGCACGAACTAAATTGAGCATTTTTTTTTTTTGCAGATGCAAGTGAAAATTCGTCATTCATGTAGTGTAACACTAGACAGGCTAATATTTATAATCTCAAACAACTCACTAAAACAATATTGTTTTTAGGTCCACAAATGTTCGGGAGTAACTAGAAATTGTTTTGATTTAACATCACTTGGGTATTAAATTTAAAGAGCGAGGAATTTCATCAATGCATCGTAAATGAGACGAGGATTAATTGTTCCATCAGCTGTGTAACGAACCCCCCTGAGTGAACCATCATCATGGCTGACGACTCCATATTCACCAACGATAAAACCATCGGGTGTTCTTTCTTCAACTCGATATTTTCGATAATTACGTCCCTCGACAACATAGCCCACCTTGCGACCATCTTCCGGATCAGCCTTATTATTCGTAGCCACAGTGACTGGTTGTGGCCCATGGACATTACCATTGCTACCAACACTGACAGCTTCATCGACCTCATAATTCTGTTCAACCGGTTCCACGGACTGTGAATTAACAGTTGGCTGACCATTTGAGTCGTAAATTTTACTAGGTTCACTGTAGACTTTAGCCGGTTCAGAGTAGACTTTCGCTGGTTCAGAATAAATTCTCGCTGGCTCGGAATAAACCTTCTCTGGTTCGCTATATATCCTTGCTGGTTCACTGTAGACTTTTGATGGTTCTCCATAAATTTTACTAGGTTCACTGTAAACTTTAGCCGGTTCACTGTAGACTTTTGCCGGTTCGCTGTAAATTTTTTCCGGTTCACTGTAACTTTTACCGAGTGTATCAATTGGATCGTTGTGATGACGTCTTTGTGAATTGTTTTCATAAAATGAGCCGTCATAATGCCTACTGACTTTGCGACCCTGATAGTGTGCGCGGGAACCGCCGATAAGTTCAGCGACTTGTTTGGGAGAATAACTATTCTCTTGAGCAATATGATATTCGACTGATATAGAACTACTGCCACTTGTGGCGGAGTCAGTGTCACTGTTTTCCTCTGACGATGATATAGATTTCTCATTAGTTGGATAAGGCTTCGAGGTGATGACACTGGGTTCCTGCCATACCGTCTGTGCAGAACCTTCATCGACTGAAAATTCACTTCTGTTTGATTCGGAGACAATATTCCCGAGATCTTCGGTGACTAATCGTGTGGATGGGGGTGTCACTACCTCAGTGCTTGTACTACTACTACTAATGGAAGATGACGTACTACCTGGCGTAGTGGAACTTGTCGATGGCACTCTTAATTTAACTGAATTTCCACTCTGATGGTGTTCTATCCGTATTTTGTATGGTGTTGCCTCAACACTCGAAGTTACACTCACGCCAATTACTTTTCGATCTAGAATTTTATTATCCCCTTTGCCGATTTTATGGGTTTTGGATATCATTGTTGTGTTCCGGCCATGTTTACCCTCGCGTGCTCTCAATTTGGATGTGATTTCATCAACTGTTGCAAGATCGTCTATCAGGGAGACTAGACTGTGACTGTGATTTAGAGCTTTTTGACTAATCGGATAGTATCTGACGTCGGAGTCACGATAGGGTGATGATGTGGACGCCTTGGGTAGGATGACTGTTGTTCTGGCTGCTGGTGGAGCACGTGAAATACGATAGATGAATGCTTCATTGTGCTTCGATTCGGAACTTATGCTATCAGTATGATGATGTCCAGTACGTCTGAAGTTGCCGCGTCGTCTCTGGACTGGTCGTGGTGCCATTGCTCCGTTTATGAAGACTGAGAGGAATTCCGTTCCGGCAATAACATCATTACTTCGTTTTGCTGGCGATGGCGCCATTATTGTCGGTTTCCAAAACAAGACCGCTTGCATGAGTACCTGAAACAAATGGATGTTATTAATATTACTGGGTTTGATCATTTGTTCATTGTAGACATTTCTTAGGAACTAGACTTAATTTACTTATGAGTCTACATGTTGTTTTTATATTAGAAGTACTCGTATTCGCCTGGTGACCTCTATTGGGTTTTCTGGTCAGAAAAACCTCTCCTGAGTACAACCGGGTTTTTCGCCAGAGGAATTTATTCAGGAAACTTTAATTTGGTAAAAAGATTGTAATGATCTGAGTTTTTGTTGCCAAAGGATTTGCTCGCCGAATAGAGTCCGGGTACTTAGCAGTTAATTCTAATAATTCTGTTATCAAAATAGTATTTATCTGATGATTTGGAGTAGTACAATATATAGTCATTAATGAGGATTTAAACAGACGTCCAGGATCGTAACTGATGCGGAAATCCAGAGTTAGCTTCCTGTTAGTCCGAGAAGTGTCTCGAGACAGGTCCAGAGGCGAACTGAAGGAAAGGGACTGGACTAGTAACCTGAGTAGACAAATGAGTCAGTGTCGGTTCTGCTAAAATAAATTCCCAAATCCCAAGAGTGGTTGGAGTAAGTGCAGTCTATCAAAGGTCAAGTGTCTCCTGTTTCTAGGGACGCCAAAGCAATCCAGAAAGGTATCAGTAAACCCAGTCGCTTAAAGACATTGAGGTGTAGGGTCTACCAAGAACGGAGGTCTAATTAAAATCAGAGGAGATTCCAGCAAAAAGACTTTCACCACAGAGGTCACCAAAACGATGGGAAGCATTAGTGAGTTGCAGTTGGTGGATCGAACAACATTCAAAATCCATGACTTCAACTGTCTTCCTCAGGTAGAAAAGGATGTACGGTCATAATGGACCATCACACACGAAGTTTATAGCCAAAAGGTAGTTCCGCAGATAGAAAAACAAAAAAAGGTTTGGCTTCAAAGTGGGTCGCCCAGAACAAGAGCAGTCCCACTCAACCTGCAAGCAGCATTCAAGTATTGGTAATATTCCTCCAAGGTTTATAGAAATCTTCCACTTCTCTCGTAAAATAAAAGAAAGAAAGTAATTAACACTTCGAATTAGCGATTATACGTTCCCATTTCCCCCTTAGTATTTAATTTCAACATCCCAGAAAAAGCATTCTTATTTTTACATCGAGTCTATTATAATAATATTCAAGAATTACTAAAAAATCCTCAAATTAAAATTCCGACGGTGATGATTGTCAATCGCACAGAACAAAAATGATATTATGATAAAAATTCCAGTAGCAATCGATTCATAACCGGTAGTTAAAATTTATAAAATTGTAAAAAGTAGAAAAAATTATTTATTTGTATAAAACTTTTGAAAAAATACTCGAATATTAGTTAAGGAAACTGGTTTTCCTTGTTAAATTCACTGAATATGAACCTCGTCGTTTTAATTAAACAAAATTATCCGGGTAGACATAATTGACTTGTTTTTATATACACATATACGGGTACATTTTTCGGCATCTTTTATTACAAGAAACAAAAAAAATTATAAACTATAATTCCCATAAATTCCCTTCCTTCATAAAATTCCGATTCCTGATAAATTATACATTTATCTATTAATTTTTGTATTATTCCAACTCTATACAAAGAAGGAACCCAAGGTCATTGCGGGTGAATCTCCCTATAAACGCGATATAAGTCGTTTCTAAAATGTTTCCCAAAGAAATTATAATTTTATTTATTATACACTTTAAAACAATTATTGATAAATATTTCGTTATAATCTTTGCTATGAAATTCCCTTCCGCATCTCTCTCATGAGACTTAAATAATTGTTCATGATACTTAAATATTTATTTTCGAAAAGTTTTACCAAGATAATTGGCTGTTATTTGAAATGGAATTTAAATTCCATTTCAATTATGTGTGAGATTTCAACATTTACTAATATAAATGTCTTTGTATATGTGGGTATTTTTATATGTATTTTAAAGGCAAAAAAGTTTATTCGACACTTAATAAAATTGAGAACGCATCTAGAGAAGAAATAAGGTAAAAGAATTAATTTTTTTACGATAGAGGTAACAACGTGAAATAAAGAAAATTAACCTTTTTTTTTGGTCTCGCTGTTGAGAATGGTTAACAGTTGCGGGGATTGATATTCGCGGACGGCTGATATACGTTGCTTTGTCGCAAGGACGAACGGCGACTTTCACTTATAATAATATCTATGTCCCTTTCCACGGTCAACTGAAAACAGTGATATAGAGATCAATCAAGGGAAATTGAAATTCTATCATATCGGTAGTTGATGATTAATCGAATTAATTATTTGACATTGGTTGTGATTTTTTTAGTAACTTTTTGCCCCAAACAGAAGTACTTTTATAAGTTTTAAAAAATCGATAAACAAAAAGTGGTTTCTTTAGAGAACTAAATCGTAAATATTTCACTCTGGATGCTGATTTTTGGTGAGTAGAATAGAACTATTTTTCTGTTAAAACGGAATGTTACTTTTTCAGTGTATTAACACCGAAAATTTAGCATCGCAAGGATATTTGAGTTAATTTTTTATTTATAGAAACATTCGCATTTATATATTTCATATTTTTTCATACAACCGTGTGTGTCTTATACAATGGAAAAGTATGACCATGAATGTGACACATGCAACCGCACTTTAGTAACGCTACAACCCACTCTTTCACTGTCGACATAACACGTATCATATTCGCACCATTTGGCTAATTGTCTATATAACTCGAAAAATCTTAATTGGATCTAATTATATGCGGTTTTTCCCATTACCGCTTATAATTAACATGAAAAATTACCTACTTAATTGGCAATCGATAAATTGTGACGAAATGATAAAACTGAAATTGATGAGGGAAAGAGTATTTTTGATATACTTCTACCTATCATTACATGTATTAAACATATTTTATTTTTAGTTGAATTATGAAATAAGGGAAAAATTATTTGACGTCAATTTTAAATCATCGAATATCTTGAAATTATTGGTTAGGGTTGAGCAGTCGATGAACTCGTCCCTGACGTTGATCGAAGCGCCACTGTTTTGACTAATTTCCACATTGTCGAAAATCTGACCAAATCTGACGCAGTGTCATTGGTTCGTCACACGAATTTTTCATCATTAAGCAAAAGTGTTATCTTTAGAAAACTAAATCGTAAATAATTATTACAAATCTTTCTCTTCAGATGCAGCTTTTTGGTGAGTTTTTTTTCTTTTTAGAATTATTAATTAAACATTATCTCCCTTCATCGTGTTTTTAATTATTTTTATTCAGTCAACTGGAGTATAAAAATTATGAACCTGGTGGTATTGTAATAAAATTTTTATTTATTATTTTTAACCAATTGTACTTAAGTTCGTATTCTATTTGTCTCCAGTATGTAGTTTAAAATTTCCTCCAAGGCTATAATGCGTGGTACCAAAAATAATTTCTACTTCGCAGTGTGAATTGTTCACAAAAAAAAAGATAGTCGTAAAATTTTAAGTATGTAATAATATGAAGCCGTCATATATCTTTGTTTATCATTATTTGAAATCGCGGTCATAAATTAATATGTCTCCGCGCCACGTAAGATGTTCCGCCTTTCTGGACACACTCTTCACTTGATGATCGATGGCATTATAATTTTGCAAAAAGTCTCTTTTACAAATATATAATACCCACCGCAAAATGCATTAAGCATCGCAAAAGTTATATACCCAAGAGAATATGCGGGCAAATATTCATATATAAATAAAAGGTCATCAAACAAATTTTTTACCAATTTAATAATACCGATATTTCGTCACAAACCTTAAAAAATCTTTTTTATTACATTTAACAGCAATAAAAATATAATTAGAATTTAAATTACATGACTTAGTGTAATTGTTGTTTAAGTGGATCATTACAAAGAACTATAAATATTAAAATGCATCATTAATTGTAAAAAAATTTTTTAATCTATTATACATTTTCTCACGATTTCACATAGTTGAAAATAATTTTCGACTTGTTTTATATACCCTGGAATAAATGAAAATTCATGCGAGGAATTGTTTATAATTATTTTTTGAGAAATATATATAAGTGCTGACAAGCGTCCAAGAATTGAGAGTCATTACGCTCTGGAAAAAATAGTATAGCAAATTAAGAAAGGCAAAATAAAATCAAGACTTGTTGGGGTAAATTATGCTTGGCGGATTTTATGATAAGTACACTATATTCATTAACATTGAAACAGGTGATAGCGCGATAATAATTAGCTCACGCGCCTTTAAGCGTGAATTGATCGTTAAAATAAAGCGGACAGTAGCGTCATAAAATTGTATGAACACAAGTAACTCAGATGCATTATTTTATGTTTTGGAATCTCAAATATTCAAATTTTCTCACTCCTTCATTTATCAATAGTATTGAAAAAATTCGACTTTTATTTTCTTACACGAATGTAGCATCCTTAGAAAACCGAATCGTAAACTTACAATTAGTTACAAAATTATATTTTTCTGTTTGGAAAATATATCAAAGAAATGCTAATAAAAAAAATCGTTCGACGTATTTGAATAATTTATAGAAAAAAAAATTTTTTTTGTAATCTGACTTTTAAAGCAATTGGTGTTCAAGTGTCCTATATATAAATTCTAATCAGACCCAAAGCTACATAATTAATCACGCACATATGAATAAATTCCTCTCTTTAAAAAAAAAAAATTCTTACACACATACTGCAAATGAATACGGATGAAGTCTGGCGCCGACAACAAAAACCTTTTTCCTGATTTTCTTTTTTAGCTACGACCTTATAAATTTCCCCCCGATTAAAAATTGAGACATAAAACGATCAGTTTAACGGCAATATATACATATAGCATTATAAAGCGAAAGGTATGTAATTTATAAGGTTTAAAAACTCGCTGATTCTCTACGCGCGTATATAACACGCAATCTTTCACAAACCGATAATATTAATATTTCTGAGACGTTGTAATTTGCTCTCCTATAGGTCTTCATTATAT